GTCCCCCCCCCCCCACCCCCCCAACAAAGAAAATCCAAAGAAATCCATAAACTGATCGGACGGATCACGGGATGAAGTAGGTTCATCCCTAAGTTAGGTGATAAGTGCATCCCATTCTTCAAAGTGCTTAGGAAAACCAAATGCTTCGAATAGACACCCGAATGCGAGAAGGCCTTCAGGAACCTCAAACTATTCCTCGTCTCTCTTCCTCTCCTTCAGAATCCGAAACCAAAGAAATATCTTTACCTTTACCTTGGAGTTGGCCTCAAAGCTGTCAGTTCGGCCCTGGTCTGAGAATAATCTGAAAAACAACGCCAAGTGTACTATACTAGGCGGGTCCTCAAAGGCGTCGAACTCCGATACCCTATAATTGAGAAACTAGCCTTCGCCTTTTTCATTTCAGCACGGAGACTCCGACCGTATTTCTAAAAAACGCTGTTATTGTTATTTTGTATAACCCTTCTTCTCTTTCAAAGGCCCTCAAAATAATGAATGAGTTTTTTTTCATGGCAAATAAAAGCCTGGGATTTACATATTCAACATCTTTCTGACAATATTTTATTCGTTTGTTTTCTTTACGCCTCGGGGAATTGTCGCACTCGGAGAACTAACACTTTATGCCTGGGCAATTGACACCGCCACGCTCGGGACACTACCACTGTCACACTTGGGAACGAGCACTGTCACACGTGGGAAACGGGCACTGCAAGAGATAAAAGTTAATCAATCAACGTAATGATCCTCAGCGGCCTATAGGATATATTGACACTCGGCAGTGATAAGTTCCGCGATAGGTGCATAAATGATCGTCTTAAGCCCCATATATGACTTTAACATCCGACAACGACAAACTCCGCGAGGAGTATGAAAATGATCATCCTGCGCCACAAACATAGGTTTCACACACGGTAGCGACAAGCTTCTCAGGTGATGTGTAAACAATCATCAATGACTTATGGGACATTTCGATACCCGTTAGCGATAAGTTCCGCGAAAGGTGAGAAAACGATTGTCCTGCGCCCCAAGCATATGTTTTGCACCCGACAACAACAAGCTCCGTGAAGGGTGTGAAACAATCATCAATGGCCTATGGGATGTTTGACACTTAACTATGACAAGCTCCGCAAGGGGTATGAAAACGATTATCCTGCACCCAAACAGGTTTTGCACCCGAGAACGACAAGCTCCGCGAGGGATGTAACGTCTGCATACAAGAAATACAACAGGTCACGTCCAACACACATACGCATATTTATATACACTCATTGACGACTCATAAGTAGCAAATCACTCTTATATTCGAGCAATTCTTAGATGAAAGAGAAAAAGCTTGGGTGCCAAATCCTTTGGCCTCAAAAAGTTCCTTATATCATAGAGTTCGTTTATAAATAGCATTCTTCCTTAAAACAAAACAGAAAGATGCAAAAAAGAACAAAAAGATATAAAAAGGGCTCGCTTCAACCCTAGACATTTGAAGACTCACTGGAGTCTGCCTCTCTAGTTCCTTCTGCACCCTCGACACCATCAGACTTCTCGTGCGCAGACTCTTCTCACCCTCTAAATCCAAAAGAGGCATCCCAAACTCCTCCATCTTCTGCCACTTGGGGTCAACCAGTCTATGCTTTATGAACCTTTTGATTGCAAGAGAAGTGTTGACTGCAATATGACGAGAAAGACACTCAACGTATGCCTCCTGGGTAATCATCGAAGACATTCTCTTTTCAGTTCTTCATTTTCCTTCAGAAGGCTGCCATCTGAACCTCATGTTGTTGAGCATTCAATTTCTTCTCCTCGATGGAAAGTTTCAACCTCTCTGCCACCCTTCGCTTCAACTTCTGAATTCTCGAGACAGACCTCCCGGCCTCCTCCTAGGCTCTATCTATGAGAAGGTCGAGGAATTGCGAAGCCTCCTAGGCAAGGGCATGATATCGATCGACCTCTTCCGTCCAACGACCTCAATATTTTTTAGAAGGTAGGAGACCAGAACATTTCCATTAGAATCGAGGGGTAGTCCCCATTTAGAGGAGTGTACGGGAACCACTCAGTCTCTCTATCGATAAGAGCCTAATGACTACCCGTCTAAACCTTAGCTCTTCGATTGTGCGAGAATGCCCACTCAGGCGGAATCACCCCCTTTTGCTTAGGAGGAGGTGGCAACCCTTTATCCGGTGCAGGAATCTTTCCTTTCTTCTAAAGGACGTCACTCTCAATCCGTTCCACGAACCCTTGCTCCTTAGAATCGGTCTTATCAGAGATAGGATGGGAGGCGCGACTCGCTCCACCAAAGCTATAAGCAAGGTCTCCCCAGTTGCCATCAGAGCTGCTCCCACCGACTGGTGCCCTAGCGAACCCCCGGAGTCAAGAATGTCACGTGATCGCGAAGAGTCTACCTCGCTTCCCTCAGAAGAACTTAACAAATTATGCAAGTCACATAAATGTGTTTCACACACAAACAAGTAAGAAAATAGATGACACTAACGTTCAATATCCCCTTTGATCGACCTAATCGAGTAGCCCGACCCCTAACTCTGACAATTGAGGACCACCTCTCCCCAAAGACCTTTTTGAAGCTGCCCTTTCTCCAGCACCCTTCTTTCGAGCAACCTCCCTCTTATAGACCGACCTCCATAAAACCTTGTTAGTGTACGTTCGATCATGTTGGGGTCCAGGACTCCAGGTATTGAAATAAAGAGAGGTGTTGATCCTCAATCAGTGCCCTATGATCTCGAATTTTTCCGGGTAAGGTCTTCACTTTCTTTACCACACATTCTGTCAAAGAAGTGCAAATTCTCCAACCGCTCTGACACGAAGCAATCAAGAACTTTGTCTTCTAGTCCTTCACCTTCTTCTCGAGGGCCAACAAATGAATCTTAAAACCTGCGACAAATTGAACATAAACATCGCGATCAATCCTAAATGAAAAAAGTGATTGAAGAGTTTGATCGACCATGAGATTCTCATCACAAAAACAAAAACAACAAAATCTTAATCTCACTACGTGGGGACCATGGGATTCTCATCCTTCAACAAAAAAGTAAATCAATCATTTCGACAACGATCGGATTAGGGAGAACTTGAGCAAGAATAATCCCATAACAATTGAAGATCGGCCGCAACTCTCGACAATGTGGCAGCCGAAAACCCATCTTAAAGTGATCTTTGTAAAAAACCAAGTCGGGAGAAAAATACTTGTGGCCTGCTTGTGACTGGTTGCTGGTCGTAAGAAAATAGTAGGGTCAAGAACTTAACGATCCTGGATCTCTTTCACGTCCTTCGTAGAGAGGACCAAAACTTTTGTGGCAGGAATCGAATCAAACAATTCTTGAGAATACTTCCGAACCATGGAGCTTACGATCCTACACTATGAGGAGGAAGAGAAATAGCGTAACCCAAAGAAAAGGGGAAAGGGCAAAGACCCTCAACCACAACACAAGCTCTCCCTCCCTCCCCTATATATATAAGGTACTGGAAGGTAATCATTACCAAAAATTGAAAAAGAAATATATTTTATTTATATATAAAAAAGAGAAGGGCATCCCACCAAACCCCCGGTTACAACTAGAAAAGAAAAAAACTTAACTGAGCGGTCATTTGCAGCTTTGTCTAAGATAAACCCTCAGTGACGAAGCCGTTCATACATAAACTCGTCGTTTAGCTTGAAGAGGTCATTCTCACTACCCTTCAGCTGAGCGGTGAGAACCTCTCTAATGGCTGACAGTTCCAAATACGGGTGTGTCATATCCCCACAACCAGCAAGCATGTCTCCCCCTCCTCGTGAAGTGCAACAACTTCCTTCTCCGCTCGGTCAACTCTCTCCAGAACTTCAATAATTCCTTCGACACTATCCCCTCGAGAATAACCCATAAAACGAAGGAAACGCTCCTCCATCTCAACAAGACGATGTACTATGAAGTCGGAGGACATCTTTTACCCTTGGTCACCTCATCTTCCTTTACAGCACTGGAAGAAACCTGATAACCCACACTCTTGCCCTCGACGAGAGACAAGTTTCTTTTTATGCTCTGCTACTCAACACCCTGCTCCATAGCACCTTGTCATACTGTGGCCCATTCCACAGCGTCCACTTCCCCAAGGGTGATTTGCTCAACAACGGTCGCATCTTCCATAAGACCAACATCAATTTCTATGGACACAGTATCGATAGTCAAGACTTCAATAATTGCACCAGGGTAAGGAAAAACATCATCACCAGCTTTTCCTAGCCCTCCACCCTCGAAGGAAAAGCCGCTCCTTTTTCGATCGAAGCCATGCCTCAGCTTTGACCGATGCCCCCTCAAGGCCTCCTTGGGGGACCACAGCCCCTGTAGCAATATGAACAGACATTCTTTCTCCTCCGACAGGAACACTCACCTCTGATGGGCGACCTGTAAGGCAAATGCAGAACATATTCAAGTCTGCTCTGCAACCCTCTCCTGGACGAGCCTGTGATGAAACCCAAAGACCCAGCTCGCTCCTGACGCTCCTCAGTTTGTGGGTTCAGCACAACCTTTTTTTTTCTCAATTCTCCTACAGAGACTTTGCTCGTCTGCTTTGGTTTCTACTTTGCGTCTGGTTTGCGGGCCTTCACCCGCATGCTACTCATGGCCTTAAGAAGGGTGTCCCTATCAGCAAACGGTTCTCCTCCGCCAGACATAGTAACAAATATGGAGAGGAAAATAGAAATTATGAGTAAGAAGGAAAGGAGAAGGCACAAACTTTCTATATCACATGGCTTATCTACAACGAGCTGGGCACGGAAATATAGGAAAGTTCATTATTGTGCAATAATGTCATTCAATTATTTCTTATATGTTAAAAAGATTATCTTGTACTTGTGTGTTTTAGAGCTTCCAAGGAGCAAGAGAATCAGAGAATTAAACATGTACACAAAAAATATTCTAGCATGAATCTCAAGGCAGAACAGATGGCTCAAAAGAATAATGTTAATCGACATTTTGTTAGCGATCTATGGATTAATGCTCACAAAGGAGTTTAGATAGATTGATTGAAAGGACGTGTCAAAGGATTTCCCACTGGATGATAATCGACCTTAAAGCCTATCGGTAGATTGTTAAGTTTCTGGTCAAATATCGATGGAGTTAAGGTGAGGCGAATGACCAACGACCCCTCATCGACCGGCATCAATCCGTTAGTCTTATATATTCAAATATCTTTGTAATTACTAAAAACCCCCTCCGAAAACTAATAATAAGGGGACTGACTTGTAATTTTATAAGATTGAGACCTATATCCATAAATAAAGGGCTTATACCATGATAAAGTTTACACATTCTTGTGATTCTCAACTACACTATCTCTCTTGATTCTCTCTTCACAATGTTCTATATTTTTTATGTATCTCTTGGGTACTTTTGGAATATATATATATATATATATATATATATCGTCGTAAATTATTGTCAAATATTTTATTTGCATATTTAACGTTTCTTTTCAGGACGTTGATTTGAGCGTGGATTTGAGCGCTGCTAGTGCTGCTCAGGAGTATTGATGTTTCGTCGGCCTTCTTTTGAACTTGACAGTATATTTCCACAGTGTTCCTCTGAATGAAGTTTGCTTGATTTTCATGCTTTGTTTTAACATTGACTAACAATTATATCTAAAAAATCCGACAAATTGATTAAAGTTTTTTTGGCTTTCCAAATTGTTAAATTTGTTACTAAACTGTGCTTTATTTGTTTTTATTTTTTAATGATTGGGATAAATTATGGTTGTTTAATCTGTGCAGTTTCCTTACAAATAGCCTAAACCATAGCTTTTTCTTTTCTTTTCTTTTTTTTTTTTTTGTATTTTAAGCCTAAGCCTTAGTTAGATTCTGAGAAGAGCGAAGATCTAATTTCCAGTAACTGAATTTCTCTGAAGATGATAAGAAGTTCCTCTAAGAAAACATCTGGAAGTATGTACCATGTCACCCTATAGAATATGGGAATAGAGCAGGATAATATTAGTGAGCGGCAAAGGGATATAAATACATGATAAAGGGGTATTGAAAAGGAAAGATATAATACCCAAATCTTTCCTAATAACACCCTAAAGATAAAAGGAAAGGCATAAACTGGGAAATACATATAAAAAGAAATAACAAGAAAGGCAACAAAATAAATAGAAATAATTTTTAATACTCTCCTTCAAATTGAAGCATATATGTCAATCATGTTCAACCTAAATTTGAAGTCTTCAAACAACGACCGAGAAAGGTTCTTTGTGAGGATATCTGCAAGTTGATCATTGGATGGGACAAATGGTACACAAATCTCTTCAGAATCGAGATTGTCCTTGATGAAGTGACGGTCAATCTCTACATGCGTGGTACGATCATACTGAACTGGATTAGGAGCAATGCTAATTGAGTTTTTATTATCACAAAATAAATGTAGAGGAGCAGAGACCAACATATGTAATTCGCGGAGCATGATGCGTAACCAGAGTGTTTCATAGATTCTCAAGGACATGGAACGAAACCGAACTCCTGCACTGATTCAGGCAATCATCTATTGTTTCTTGTTTTTCTAGGTGACAAAGTTTCCTCACACGAATGAGCAATACCCCGAGATAAATCGACGATCATGGACGAACCCGACCTAATCAACATCAGTATAAGTTGCAATAGAACGAGATGTGTGGCGCGAGAATAACAAACCTGAGCCTGGTGTGCCTTTTAAGTAGTGGAAGATCCACTGGACAACTATGAGATGGTGCTCATAGGGGTCATGCATGAATTGAACTACAATATTAACGTGTGACAAATATCGGGGCGCGTATGGGTGAGATGAATGAGTTTACCCATAAGGCGTTGGTAGTGTATCTTGTTCAGAAGAACAACATTGGGAACCTCAGCTAATTTCTAATTGGGTCCATTGGAACAGCCACTAGCTTGCAAAGCAGAATGTTGGTCTCTGTCAATAGGTCCACATATTTACGTTGGGAAAGACAAATGCCACGAGAGGATCGGGCAATTTCAATGCCTAAAAAATATCAGAGAGAACGAAAGTCCTTCATTTCAAAGGATGTGGCGATGATGCCTTTAAGAGATTCCAAGGCGGACAGATCATTATCTGTGAGCACAATATCGTCAACTTAAACAATAAGGATAACAATTTTGTCACTAGAGGAATATCGAAAGGATAGAATATGATATGATTGGGCTTGAGAGAACCCGTGACCCACTACCACCTGTGTGAACTTGTCGAAACTAACCCGAGGGGATTGCTTCAATCTGTAGAGGGACTTCCGTAGTCGACATACCTGTCCTAGGGAAGAATTAGAGTCAAATTATGGAGGTAGAGACATGTATGTCTCCTCTTTGAGATCTTCATTAAGGAAGTCATTCTTGATGTCCAATTGGAGTAATGGTCCATCCAAAATCACGACAATGGATAACAGAACCCAAATGGTGTTCAATTTGGCAACTGGAGCAAATGTCTTCTCATAGTCAACTCTGTAGGTTTGTAAGTAGCCTTTAACGATCGATCGTGTTTTCTTGTGTTCAAATGTTCCATCGGAGTTAAAGTTGGCGTTGAAGATCCACCAGCAACCAACTTTTTTTTTCCAAGGAAGATCGACAACATCCCATGTGTTATTTCGCCGAAGGGCATTCATCTTATCCATTATTGCGGCCTTCCAGAAAGGGTCTGCCACTACTGCCTCAATAGTGGATGGAAGACGACCTGTCAAAGAATTGACTAATGCTTTGTAGGTCGACGGAATAAAACATATTTTGCCATGGAATAATAAAAACAAATTTGATTGCGTACATCAATGGTAGAACTCATCTCCTCATTCAGAGCGGGAGCAATCTCCGCAACTGTAGTGTCGGGATGTTGGCCGGGGCGGATTCCAATTCTTGTAAAGAGGCAGTGGGCTCAATGGGTATTGGGATGGGTCTCAACCAAGGGATTGATGCACCGAGCATAGACATGGACAGTAGGTGGAGGAGATGTTGGTCTGGTAGATGGTGGATCCATTGGTATAGTTGGTTCCTCGGGAATAGTGGTTGGAGGAGTACGTGGCATGTCTATCGAAGTCGGGAAAGGAGTACGTCCAAAAAATATATAGCTCCCTCTCACTTGAGGCACTGGTAAGAAGTAGAGAATATTTTCAAAGAATGAGACATTAGCACTCACATAGAGTTTAGTTGTGACAGGATCAAGACGCTGATAGCCCTTTTGAATGACAAAATATTCGAGAAAGATACATTTGATTGAACGAGGATCAAGTTTACTACAAGTTGGGGCAGTGTTTCAAACAAATATCGTGCACCCAAATATTTTGGGGTCTCAAGCGGAGAAGAACTGATTGGTAGGAAAACAAGACCTCAAGACTGCTAACGGGAGCCTGAATTTGTGAATTTTTGTGGAAACTCTTTTAATGAGATATGTGGTGGTAAGTACTACATTCTAAAACCGTTTCGGGACATCCTATTGAAACATCATGGAACGGGCAAATTCGAGAGGTGTCAGTTACCCTATTTTGTTGGGAGTATCCGTATAGAAGCTGTGATAGATGATGACCTTACAAAAAAATCCCCTAGTATAGAGTTAAAATATTCATAGTCGTTGTCAGTCTGAATGACTTGAATTGATATTTTGAATTGGGTCAAAATGAAGGAATGAAATTTTTTTAAAGGTGATAGTAGCTTCAAATTTGTTTTTTAAGATATAAGCTCACATCATTCGAGTGTGATCATCAATCAAGATAAGAAACCATCATTTATTGTGTATAACTAGGCGTTCAAGAAGACCCCCACAAGTCGCTATGAATTAGTGAAAAAGTGCCAAAGGAGTGTAAGAGTGGTGGACATGATGTTGGATGTTGTTTAGCTAAATGATAAATCTCACATTTAAAACTAGATAAATTTTTATTACTAAACATCAAAGGATAAATTTATTTTAAATATTGAAAACTAGGATGATACAAATGGCAGTGTAAAAGCATAATAGAGCATTCAGTGGGCTGGGAAAGACTACTACTTAATGGAGTGATCTCATCAACATTGCTTTTTCTTTGGAAAAAGTTGGCTAGCAGCTTAGTAGTTCTAATCATCCTCCCCGAACGACGATCCTGGAAGACAAATATCAAGAGAAAAATGAGCAATAAAATTAGTCATATGTCAACTTACTGACTGACAAGTTGTTATACTTTCATGAAGGTACATGTAACATAGATTTTAGAGTCGTGTCTGTTGTTAGAACAATAGATCATTTATCAACAATGGAACTGGTGGAGTCGTCAGCAATTTTAACTGTTTCTCTCCCAGAACACAAAGAATATGTCGAGAATGCTTGAGAACATCAAGTTATATGGTCCGTGACACGTAAATTAATAATCCACGGACTATAAGTAAAAACATCGAGTGTCAGCGGAATGTTACCTTGACGAACATGGGATGTCAATGGGTCGAAAGAGAACTGACTAGATCCGAGTAGTTTGATCAAGTGCGCCATTTGACTCTTAATGGAGTTTGGTGATTTTGGGATGTTTCGAGTGAGAGTTGGTTGTACTGTCGTGGCTTCTGAAGTCGTAGTATGACCCTTAACAGCGGAAGATTTGGTTGATGGTTTATTTTTCTATTTCTTGTTGAGCTTCCAGCACTTGTCACAGGTATGATTGTGTTTTGACAGTAATCTTAAGTAGAGTGATTGGCTCGTGAGGATGTGGAGGGTTGAGCACTATTAGATACCAAGTCGGACGGTCCAACTAAAAGAGTGGAAGTGTTGAGAATAACAAGTCTCTGGCTTTCTTTATAACTTATCTCGAGGAATGCAACAAAAGTTGAATGAAGGGGATCCCAGCCAAAAATACGACCCCAGAGATCCTTGTTTAAACTTGCCATGAATTGGAACACGATTCTTTTCCATAATTTTCTTGAAGAAGCAAAAATCAACTGGAGAGTTCCATGTGTAGTCGTAGTAGAGAACGCATTCCATCCATAAGGCCACTAAGTCATTATAGTGTTGTGTCATGGCCATTGATTCATGTTTTGCCTCACGGATCTTCTTGGAATCCTAATAAAGTTGGCTTGAGTTTCCTACGTTCAATTGGGTATCTGAAATTGTCGTCCATAGTGCAGTTGCAGATCGAAAAAAAAGATACGAACGACCAATCATAGTCTCCATATAATTGATCAATCAAGGCATGATCATGAAATTCTCCACTTCCCACAATCCATACGCCAGGTCAAGTTTCGGAGGTTCATGAATCATCCTTGTGAGATAGTTGAACTTTCCGCGTTCTTTGACAAACAATGACATGGTTTGAGACCGACCACTGAAGAAAATTAGAGCAATTAAGTTTGTGTTGTGATCAAGAAGTTCATATGGTTTTCTGGGCCTCCATTCTGCGAAGGGATTAAGGTCGGTGTCGATCTTCCGGTGGACTCAAGTACACCGTCAGAGAATGCTCGGTGGGGAGTTCGCCATGATTTCGACAGAGCCGATGACAAGGTTTGGATTCTGAGACAGAGACGTAGATGGTCCCTTATGCAGCAAACAACAAAAAACTGATTTGGCTGGTAGGAGGGATCTCTGCCGACATGAGATCTGATTCGATGTGTTGGAAGGATATGAAGCTGGTAGGGAAGATTAGGGCCTGCGACTGAAAGAAACAGCTGGAGATCTGGTCTGCAGGAAACAGCGGTTGAAATCTGAAGGCTGCAGAAAAT